ATGTTGTCATTGCTGTCTTCTTCCTTCTTTCGTCTAAGTCATCATCATCATCATCATCATCATCATCATCATCATCATCATCATCATCATCATCATCATCATCATCATCATCATCATCATCATCATCATCTTCCCCTCCTCCTCCTCCCCCTCCTCCTCCTCCCTCACCTACTGCTCTCTCCCTCACCTTTCAGTCAGGAAACACCTCGGGAGTCTTTGGGCATCACATGATTGGCGATCGTCTCTACACCTCAGCAGTCGACAGCAGCATACGACTGTGGGATCTCAAGTCCATGCAGGTGCTTCAACAACCTCCTCTTCCCTTCAAGAACCCCCTCCTCCTTGCTTCAGGAACCCCTCCTCCTCCCTCCCGTCCTCCTCCCTTCTCCTCTCCTTGCACCTTCAACAACGTTGTCCTGCTCTCCTGCTCCCTGTCCTGCACTCTTCCTCTCTTCCTCTCTTCCTCTCCTTCACTTCTGATCGCCTCCTCTCCTTCACTTCTGATCGCCTCCTCCCTTCGCTGTCGCAGGTAAAGAGTAAGATAAGCGGCCACTCTGACTTCGTCCGAGCCTTGTCCTCGGTGAGAAGCCGACAAGCATCGTTCCTGCTCCTTCCCTGCCCATACCCCTGCTCCAGCTCAAGCTCCAGCTTCTGCTCCTGCTCCTGCTCCAGCTCCCGCTCCTGCTCCTGCTGCTCTCCCGCTCATGCTCCTGCTCCTGCTCCTGCTCCTGCTGCTCTCCCCTTCCGCTTCTTCCTTTTCCACGTCCTCATCCCCTTGCTTGTCCACCTCGCCTCGTTGATCCTCCCCCTTTCCTCCTCCCCTCCCCCAGCTGAGCCCCAGCAGGTTGGCGGTCAGCTCATCAGCGGCTCAGACGACAAGACGATCCGAATCTGGGACGTGGAGTTCCACGACTGCATCCAGGTATAGCCAGCTGGACTAGAGCTGGGAGGTTGGTGAGGAGGGTGGTGGGGAGGAAGCGGGAAGGGTGGTGGGAGGACCTTGAAATGAGTTGGAAAGGAGTTGGTGGGAAGGAGTTGGAGAGGAGCTGAGGGAGGGGCAGGTGTTGCGGGGCCACACGTCCTACATCAACAGTCTGCTGTGTGCGCGAGGGAGATTGTTCTCCTGCTCTATGGACAAGACGATTAGAGTGTGGGAGTGATGGAGGAGGAGGAGGAGGAGGAAGAGGACGGGAGAGGATGGGGGAGAGGGAGGGAGAGGAGCAGGATTAGGAGCAGGAGCAGGAGCAGGAGCAGGAGCAGGAGCAAGAGGGAGGAGGAGCAGGAGCAGGAGCAGGAGCAGGAGCAGGAGCAAGAGGGAGGAGGAGGAAGTAGAGGGAGGAGGAGGAGGAGGAAGTTTTTCTTGTTGAATACAGAGGTTGATGGTTCAATGCTTTGAGTTGGACAACAAGACACGATGCCTCAACTGCATCAGGAGCGAGAGGTCGACCACTTGCTCCCCGAAACAAGCCTGAGCGATCTGACAAGACGATGAGCAAGCAGGGAGGGGGAAAGAGGATGGGGAGTGAGTGAGGGAGGGAGGGAGGGAGTGAGGGAGGGAGAGAGTGAGGGAGTGAGGGAGAGAGGAGGATGGGGAGGGAGGGAGGGAGAGAGGAGGATGGGGAGGGAGGGAGGGAGGGAGGGAGGGAGGGAGGGAGAGAGGAGAAGAGATGAAGTGAAAAACTAGCTCTGGACGAGAATCAGGAATGGGAGTAACTAGAGGAACTAAGTGACCAGGAGGAGGAGGAACACTGACCTGCAGGATCGTCTCGATTTCTAAGCTCTTTGACCTCTGCAGCGAAATCAGGAAATCGTCAAACCCACCTTTCTCCCTCCTTCTTTCCTTCTTCTCTCCTCCCTTCTACCTCCCTTCCATCCTCGTTCCCCCCCTCCCATCCTTCTCTCCGTCTCTCCCTCCCTCCTCTCCCTCCCTCCTCCTTTATGTTTCACCTGCAGCGCCATCAGCGCATCCTCCATCTCCACCGCCATGCTCAGTTCCCCTTCGACCGCCTGCTAGCCTGTTAGACAAACATTCCCCTCCACACCCTCCTCCTCCTTGCCCTCGACCTCATCCTCCTCCTCCTCCTCCTCACTCTCCTCCTCCTCCTCCTCCTCACTCTCCTCCTCCTCCTCCTTGTTATCTCTAGTCCTCTTCACGGTCTTCCCGCTACTCCTAATTTGTCTGCACTGCTTGATTACCATTGCAACCCAACACATTCCCAATAACTTTAGTCCTCCTCTATCCTCTCTCCCGTTACTACTTCCCTGCCTCCACTAACTTCCTTCTGCTCTGCTCTGCTCTGCTCTGCTCTGCTCTGCTCTCACTTTCAGGAGCGCAAGTGCGACGCGAAAGAGCGCGACAGCTCCTTCTACGAAGATGAAGTCCCAAATCCTGATGACCTGAAGGAAGATGAGTAGGCAGGCAAGCAGAAGCAGAAGGAGTGAGGAGTGAGGAGGGAGGAGGGAGGAGGGAGGAGGGAGGAGGGTTAGGTGGTGATGGTGGTGAAGGAGGAAATGGAGGAAAGAGGAGGATGAAGAGGGATATTGAGAAGGGTGGTTTAGGAGGAGGAGTAGTTGGTTGTGACGATGATGATGATGGGTGGGGGATGGAAGGGAGGGCACAAGAATAATCTACCGAGGTAGGAGGCAGGACGTTGACGTATGCACACATGAACCACTGGGCAGCGAAGGAGGAGAGCGGAAGGTGTACGAGCTCAAGCTTGTCCTTCACCTGGTAGCGATCAGAGGGAGGGGGAGAGGAGAGGGAGAGAGAGGGGAGGGAGGGAGGGGAGGGAGGGAGGGAGGGAGGGAGGGAGGGAGGGAGGGAGGGAGGGATGCACGTACCGACTTCAAGTTGCTTTCGAGGAGGAGGTTCAACACTTTGACCTGCGTCATCGGCATCAATCACCTCAACTTCAACTCTTGCTACCCTGACGTCTTGCAGGACTCCCGAGAGGTCGGCATAGTAACTCTTCGGCATCACGTTGTGTAAGATGGCAAGAAAAACCCAAAAACAATCCTGAAGAGACGATGTCAACAATCATGGAGAGGGTAGAAGTGGGATAAGAAGGAGAATGTAGGAGAGGGGAGGGGTGCAGGAGAAGAACAGAGTAGGAAGAGAGGAGGATAAAGGGGTAATGCAGTTTGTAGCCTTGATGTCAATGGAGTCGAAGAAGGGAAAGGGAGGATACGGGGAGAGGAATAAATGATTGGGTAGGATAGCGATGCATTGTATATAGGTAGAAGTAGAAGTAGAAAAGGGTGAGTGGGTGTAAGATGATGATGATGATGGTGATGGTGATGATGATGATGATGATGATGGTGATGATGATGATGATGGTGATGATGGTGATGGTGATGGTGATGGTGATGGTGATGGTGATGGTGATGATGATGATGATGATGATGATGATGATGATGATAATGGTGACGATGATGATGATGATGATGAGTGCTTGTGAAGTTGAGCATGAACTTCAAACAGACATGAATTCACCTCCTCATCGTCGAAAAGAGTAACAACAATCCCCGCGATGTAGTTGAGAGACTGACAGTACCTACGGGCAGACAAGATACTCTTTAGAAGTGCCTGGATCCCAGAAAGAGCAAAGAAACAACAATTGGAATCATAGCGAACTGATAGCTTTCTCTGCTCTGCTCTGCCCTGGACTCACCCCCTTCTCTCCCTCTACTTCCCCTCTCCTGCACTCTCCTCCAATCTCCTGCCCCTCTCCTCTCTCCACCACTCTCGTCCATCACAACCTGCAGCTTCGTCCTGGCACTGTGCCCGTTGCCCCGATCATCTCCTCTCTTCTCGGACTCCTTCATCCCCCCCTCTTGGTTTCCTCCGCTTCCTCTCCTCCTCTTCCTCTCGTGCCTCTCTCTCTCTCTCTCTCTCTCTCTCTCCTCTCTCTCTCTCTCTCTCTCTCTCTCTCTCTCTCTCTCTCTCTCTCTCTCTCTCTCTCC